GGAGCTAAACGGAGGCTGAGGGGGAGCTAAACGGAGGCTGAGGAGGAGCTAAACGGAGGCTGAGGGGGAGCTAAACGGAGGCTGAGGGGGAGCTAGACGGAGGCTGAGGGGGAGCTAGACGGAGGCTGAGGGGGAGCTAGACGGAGGCTGAGGGGGAGCTAAACGGAGGCTGAGGGGGAGCTAGACGGAGGCTGAGGGGGAGCTAAACGGAGGCTGAGGGGGAGCTAAACGGAGGCTGAGGGGGAGCTAGACAGAGGCTAGAGTCTGGTAGCTACCTTTGGTTAAGTGGTAGCTAACATTAGTAAAACTAACAACTAAACCGCCAGTTTAGAAAAACTGTCTAAAATGATCAAAACATGCTAAAGCTACATATTTTTTTGTTAAGCTACATGTGATTGTAGCTAAAAGGTGAAACTGGAAGCTAAAGGGAGCCAAAGAAAACCATTTCAGAGAACAATGCGTTTAAATAAACTGAATTTAAAACACCAACAGTCTCGGCACTAATCTCACGGTCGACACGAACGTTTAAATACACGAACAGCTAAAATGACACCAAGTGTACTGAAGTTATTTGTACGGGAAAATAAAAAGCGAGTAACGACGTGGACGCTGAACCAGTAAATGTCCAGGTGAGCTTCTGAGAAGCTTGAACTTAAGATGTTAGCCATAAAAACAAACACAGAAATATTTTGTTGCAAACAAAAGTCCTGGTTATTTATAATCGTACATAAATCTATATTTAAAAATGTGTTTTGGCACCATGTCAACACTCGCCTGGCCGGGGAACTTCAAGCTGCGTGGTGCACCTCATCATGGACTCCATTCACCCCCGCAGGCTGTTCACAAACCAACACTCTCGGGGGATAAAGTTTCCTCTGGCGTGCGCCGATGCTCTCTTCTGTTGTGCGCCGGAGTGTTTTTGGTGTGAATTAGTGAAAGTGGGTGATATTTAATCGGTGTTTTCCTCTCCAGGGTCGACAAGGACCGCAGTGGAGTGATCTCAGACTCTGAGCTCCAGCAGGCCTTATCCAACGGTACGTCTCAAGTCCTCACATTTATCCTCGCATTTCATCACACGTCTTCTTCCACCTTTTTTTTTTTTGTTTTTGATCGAAACAACTGACACTTTTCTGCAAGGAAAACCGATTGGGAGATAAATTTGTATCCCTGAGCAGCAGGTGAATAAAATGGAAATGTGTAGATTTGTTTTAATCCCAGAACAAAGGGGAGCAGGTGGAAAGTTTTTCCGTACTTGAGAGCCTCGGCAGAATTTAAAAGATGTGATGAATTTTAAAACCTCACTATCAAAAGATATAAAAAAACACTTAATGTCCATAAATATCTTAAAATGCATCTTAAATCTCCACCTTCGGGTGGTGGGGTGGCAGAGGCAGCAGGACCAGGAGAGAAACCTAGATCTCCCTCTCCCAAGTGACAATTTGCAGCTCCTTATGGAGGATCAATCTCAAAGTGTTCCCTGACCAGAGAGGATATATAATTCCTCCAGAGAGTTCTGGGTCCCCCAGGACCTCTTCCCAGTGGGCTTGTCCCACTGGGAAGAGGTTTTCAGGAAGCATCCTAATCAGAATCCAAACTGAATGGCCACATGTGAGGGTTGGAACATAGACCAGTAAATCCAGAGATTTGCCTTTCGTCTCTTATCTTCACCATGACCAGCCGAAGCAACGCCCTCATTACTGAGGATGAGACCCCGATCGGTCCATCCATCGTGAACTAGACGCCCAGAAACTTAAACTCCATCTGAGGCAAAGGCTCCCGCTCTGACCCGAAAGAGACATTAAACCCGTTTCCGGTTGAAAGTTTCACTGTAGTTTGACCAATGGTTCATGGGATATTTTACTAACAGACAAATGAACAGTAGCACAGACAGATGATC